GGGGGTGAGGCAGGGACTGTCCCCAGCCCGTGTGGGGACATTTGGGGACACACTCACGTGGGCCACGGGGTCGTTGGTCCTGGTGGCCACCAGGCTGAGCCTCTTGACGTGGGTGTTGGTTTTCATGGCCTCGCAGACGGCCTTGAGCGTGGGGATGGGAATGTCCTGGGGAGGGGACACACACGGGGGTCACCCGGGGCAGGGGGACACTCCCAGCAGGGCAGGGGGGCCACCAGTGTGTCCCCAGGGTGTCCCCAGGGTGTCCCCAGGGGGGTGGAGGTGACACCAGGGGAGGTGGAGGTGGCTCCAAGGGACGTCCCCGAGAGGGTGCTGGGTGTCACCCAGAGGGGTGGCAGCGTCACCGAGGGGGTGTGGGATGTCACCAAAGGGACGGGGGTGTCCCCAGGTGAGGAGCAGCACCCCGGGGGTGCCCTGGGGGCACTCAGGGATGGAGACAAACACCTCGGGGACACACCAGGACAGGGGACAACCCCCGTGGGGACACCCTGGGAGAGGGAGGACTCCCTTGGGGACACCCCGGGGTGGGACCCGTCGCCCCGGGGACGCGCTGGGGACGCCGTGGGTCCCTGACCTTGATGTTGTTGAGGTTGACGTCCTCCAGGGCCGGGTCGTTGTCCCGGATCCGCTGCAGCGTCTCCTCCACGTTTGTGGGATTCGGGGGCTCGTCCGGCACCGGCTTGTACGAGTCGGGTTTGACCACGCCTGGGACACGGGGACAGGGATGGGGACACAGGGGGGGACACGGGGACAGGGGTGGGGACATGGGGGAACACGGGGACAGGGACAGGGATGGGGACACACGGGGGGACACACGGGGGGACACAGGGACAGGGATGGGGACGTGTGTGACACATGGGGATACAGGGGACAGGGACATGTATGACACATGGGGATGGGGACATGTGGGACAGGGGACAAGGACACGTGTGACACACACAGGGACACACGGAACACACAGGGACGGGGACACGTGTGGGGGACACACATGAAAGGGGACAGGGACACGTGGGGACACGTGTGACACATATGGGACGGGGACACAGTGACACACACGGGATGGGGACACGCATGTGGGGTCACAGGAATCCCAGAGGGGGTTTGGGCCCCAAATCCCGCCCAGGCAGCCCCCAGTTTTCCATGTCCTGGGGGCTCATCCCCATGTCCCCTGTCCTGGTGGGTGTGTCCCCTGCCCCGTGTCCCCGTGTCACTCACTGTTGATGCCCTCGGTGTTGGAGATGTCCCCGCTGCAGATGGCATCGTAGTACTGCTTGTTGCTCATCAGGGTGTACATGCCCAGGATGGCTGGGGGGGGACACGGGGGGTCAGGGGGGTGACCAGGACACCCCTGTCCCCTCGGGACACCCCTGTCCCCTCGGGACATGCCCAGGATGGCTGAGGGGGCACCCCCATCCAAGGCCCATCCCTGTCCAAGGCCCATCCCTGTCCAAAGCCCATCCTCGTCCAAGGCCCTTCCTCATCCAAGGCCCACCATCCAAGACACCCCCGTCCAAGGCCCATCCTCGTCCAAGGCCCAGCCCAGCCCAAGCCCATCTGTATCCAAGGCCCATCCCTGTCCAAGGCCCATCCCTGTCCAAGGCCCGTCCCTGTCCCGGCCCCCCGGACCCACCGGCGATGTCGCACATCTCGGCCTCGGTGGCGTTGGCCAAGGCCTCCTCCAGCTCTGGCTCCAACGTGATCTGCTCCTCCCGAGGGATCTCCCGCGTTGGGTTCTTGGGCACAAACGGCTTCCCTGGGCACGGGGACACCGGGAATGGGGGACATGGGGACACCGGGAATGGGGACATGGTGACACTGGGAATGGGGACTCGGGGACATTGGGAATGGGGACATGGAGACACCGGGAATGGGGAGACAAATGGCTTCCCTGGGCATGGGGATGTGTCACAGCGGGAGTGGGGACATGGAGACACCAGGAATGGTGGCACAGGGACACAGAGACATTGTGACACCAGGAGGGACACCGGGAATGGTGGCACGGGGACAGGGTCACACTGGGCAGGGGCACCGGGAATGGTGGAGGGACACGGGAACGCTGGGCAGGGACACCGGGAATGGCAGCACTGGGATGTGGAGACACCGAGCACGGTGGCACGGGGACGGGGTCACACCGGGAATGGTGGCACAGGGACAGGGTCACACTGGCCGGGGACACCAATGTGGTGGCCCAGGGGATGTGGCTGATGGGGCTCATGGGGACGTGGCCACCACCGGGAGGGGACCTGGCCCAGGGTGGGGGGACTGTGCCAGGGGGTGACAATGCCGGGGGTGGCATTGCCACGGGTGACAGTGTCAGGGGTGGCATCGCCAGGGTGGCCTTACTGGGAGGCACATTGAAGGGGGTGGCCACATGGGGGGGGGGGGGGCATTGGCCGGGGGTGGCCGGGGTGCCCCAGGGGGGGTTGCCCCGGGGGGGGGGTGCCGGGGGGGGGCGGCCCGGGGGGGGGGGGGGGTGACATTGCCAGGGGATGTCCTGGATGCTACAGGTGGCATTGCCACGGGGTGGCATTGCCGGGGTGGCCTCTCTGGGGGTGGCACTGGGAGGGGGGCATCGCCATGGGGGGCTGTGCTGGGGGGGAGTGACATTGCCAGGGAGTGACGTTTCAGGGGGTGGCATTGCCAGGGGGTGGCATTGCTGTGAGTGACCACCTTGGGGGGGGTTGTCATTGCCAGGAAGTGACATT